TCCAAAAATGCAACAGCTCAAAAAAAAAAAGCATAGGTGTGAACATGTCCCATAGGAAACCATATTAAATGGACTGTAGTGGGTTTCTGCAAAAAGCACATTCGTGTTAACCAGAAGATATTCTATGGGCATTCCCTTCCGTCAATCAACCTGGTCATTCCATAGAAAATAATAATAGTCTTGCTTAATCTCAAATTTTAAACATCGCCACTGAATTTGTAGAGTATGTCTAAGGGATTTATTATGTTGAATGGCTCTGAGTGCAGGTCACATTTTGCTTCCCATTATACTTTATGGACATTCCCTTTTGTCATTCCATAGCAAACAGCTGTAATCCCAAATAACTTCAATTGTACAATTTGCTACTCTGCTTGGGGAACATCTGTGGTAAAGGTGAAATTGCTGTTTTTCAGATATGCCTGTAAATGAGTTTACATTTTGCTTCCCATTATATTCTATAGGCATTCCTTTCTGTCATTCACCTTTGCCTTCCATAGAAAACAATATTAATCCCACTTAATCTCAAATTTAAATTTTATTTCTCCCACTGACACCATCCGTGGGGGGTGGGGCCCTATTTCTCCCACGGACACACCGTCCGTGGGGGGGGGGGCCCTATTTCTCCCACCGACACCGTCCGTGAGGGGGGGGGGCCCTATTTCTCCCCCACCGACACCGTCCGTCCGTGGGGGGGGGGGCCCTATTTCTCCCACCGACACCGTCCGTGGGGGGGGGGCCCTATTTCTCCCACCGACACCGTCCGTGGGGGGGGGGCCCTATTTCTCCCACCGACACCGTCCGTGGGGGGGGGGCCCTATTTCTCCCCCACCGTCCGCCCTATTTCTCCCACCGACACCGTCCGTGGGGGGGGGGCCCTATTTCTCCCACCGACACCGTCCGTGGGGGGGGGGGGCCCTATTTCTCCCACCGTCCCGACACCGACACCCGTGGGGGGGGGGCCCTATTTCTCCCACCGACACCGTCCGTGGGGGGGGGGCCCTATTTCTCCCACCGACACCGTCCGTGGGGGGGGGCCCTATTTCTCCCACCGACACCGTCCGTGGGGGGGGGGGCCCTATTTCTCCCACCGACACCTCCGTGGGGGGGGGCCCTATTTCCCACCGACACCGTCCGTGGGGGGGGGGGCCCTATTTCTCCCACCGACACCGTCCGTCTCCCACCGACACCGTCCGGGGGGGGGGCCCTATTTCTCCCACCGACACCGTCCGTGGGGGGGGGGGGCCCTATTTCTCCCACCGACACCGTCCGTGGGGGGGGGGGGGTCCCCCTATTTCTCACCCACCGACACCGTCCGTCCGTGGGGGGGGGGCCCTATTTCTTTCTATTTCTCCCACCGACACCGACACCGTCCGTGGGGGGGGGGGGCCCTATTTCTCCCACCGACACCGTCCGTAGGGGGGGGGGGGGCCCTATTTCTCCCACCGACACCGTCCGTGGGGGGGGGGGCCCTATTTCTCCCACCGACACCGTCCGTGGGGGGGGGGGGGGTCCGTGGGGGGGGGGGGGGGCCCTATTTCTCCCACCGACACCGTCGTGGGGGGGGGGGGGCCCTATTTCTCCCACCGACACCGTCCGTGGGGGGGGGGGCCCTATTTCTCCCACCGACACCGTCCGTGGGGGGGGGGGGGGGGCCCTATTTCTCCCACCGACACCGTCCGTGGGGGGGGGGGGGCCCTATTTCTCCCACCGACACCGTCCGTGGGGGGGGGGCCCTATTTCTCCCACCGACACCGTCCGTGGGGGGGGGGGGCCCTATTTCTCCCACCGACACCGTCCGTCGTGGGGGGGGGGGGGGGGCCCTATTTCTCCCACCGACACCGTCCGTGGGGGGGGGGGTCCGTGGGGGGGGGGGGGCCCTATTTCTCCCACCGACACCGTCCGGGGGGGGGGGGGGGCCCTATTTCTCCCACCGACACCGTCCGTGGGGGGGGGGGGGCCCTATTTCTCCCACCCCACGTCCGTGGGGGGGGGGGGGGCCCTATTTCTCCCACCGACACCGTCCGGGGGGGGGGGGGGGGGCCCTATTTCTCCCACCGACCCCACCGTCCGGGGGGGGGCCCTATTTCTCCCACCGACACCGTCCGTGGGGGGGGGGGGGCCCTATTTCTCCCACCGACACCGTCCGTGGGGGGGGGGGGGGCCCTATTTCTCCCACCGACACCGTCCGTGGGGGGCCCTATTTCTCCCACCGACACCGTCCGTGGGGGGGGGGGGGGGCCCTATCCCACCGACACCGTCCGTGGGGGGGGGGGCCCTATTTCTCCCCACACCGTCCGTGGGGGGGGGGTAGACACCGTCCGTGGGGGGGGGGGGGCCCTATTTCCCACCGACACCGTCCGTGGGGGGGGGGGGCCCTATTTCTCCCACCGACACCGGGTCCGGGGGGGGGGGCCCTCCCACCGACATTTCTATTTCTCCCACCGACACCGTCCGTGGGGGGGGGGGGCCCCCTATTTCTCCCACCGACACCGGGGGGGGGGGGCCCTATTTCTCCCACCGACACCGTCCGTGGGGGGGGCCCTATTTCTCCCACCGACACCGTCCGTGGGGGGGGGGGCCCTATTTCTCCCACCGACACCGTCCGTGGGGGGGGGGGGGGCCCTATTTCTCCACACCGACACCGTCCGTGGGGGGGGGGGGGGGGCCCTATTTCTCCCACCGACATTTCTCCCACCGACACCGTCCGTGGGGGGGGGGGCCCTATTTCTCCCACCGACACCGTCCGTGGGGGGGGGGGGGCCCTATTTCTCCCACCGACACCGTCCGTGGGGGGGGGGGGGGGGCCCTATTTCTCCCACCGACACCGTCCGTGGGGGGTGGGGGGGGGCCCTATTTCTCCCACCGACACCGTCCGTGGGGGGGGGGGGGCCCTATTTCTCCCACCGACACCGTCCGGGGGGGGGGGGGGGGGCCCCTATTTCTCCCACCGACACCGTCCGTGGGGGGGGGGGGGCCCTATTTCTCCCACCGACACCGTCCGTGGGGGGGGGGGGGGGGGCCCTATTTCTCCCACCGACACCCGTCCGTGGGGGGGGGCCCTATTTCTCCCACCGTCACCACCTCCCACCGACACCGTCCGTGGGGGGGGGGGGCCCTATTTCTCCCACCGACACCGTCCGTGGGGGGGGGGGGGCCCTATTTCTCCCACCGACACCGTCCGTGGGGGGGGCCCTATTTCTCCCACCGACACCGTCCGTGGGGGGGGGCCCTATTTTTCTCCGTGGGGGGGGGGGCCCATTTCTCCCACCGACACCGTCCGTGGGGGGGCCCTATTTCTCCCTCACCACCGACACCGTCCATGTCAGGAATACAGGAAATAGGAAATACAGGCAAGATCCTCTGATCGGTCCCGTGGGCTGTAAAGCTACTGGATTCCGGAAGTGATCAGAGAGAAGATAAGAAAACAGCGAGAACCGGCATATCTTGCGAGAGCCTCAGAGACGGGCCGGTAAACACACTGGACACCCTCCGCTCCACACGCCGTGCCCTGAGCGGGGACAGAGGAGAAGACAATACCGGGACGGGATATATGAATAGACAGCACCCGGCTAACACACAACCCTCCCGTGGTAAACAAACAGGGTCAGGCCCGGACTGTACTCTATAGACTGTCATTGGCTCGCCACAGCTTCTCCTCACATAGCCCCTCCCCCCGCCACTTACAGCCAGTCTCCTTCTTGATCTCTTCTATCTCCTCGTCCCTCAGTAATGTTGAAGCTCTGGAGCCCATGATATTAACGTCCGTTCCCAATCACAGCGCTCCTCACTCTATACCATAGACAAGTACAACCTCTGCTATGTATCAGGAGGGCGTGTCTACTGACACGCCGGTATAAACACGCCTACAACATGCTCCGTCAGTTCTTCAGCTTCGGTTATGTGTAATTATACCGCCCACACTGCAGGCCACGCCCAAAGTGCCAATCACCTGCTAACTGGCTTACCATTTCTTCCTCAAAACTTTTTTTTCCCAACAGAGCTTTATTGTAAAGCACAAGTCCATGTGAACTGGCCTGGAGTAGGTTCCTGACAACATTAGACACAATGGTGTCCGTTTATGAACCAGCGGTAATAGATCGCTGCTCAGTTCTCCGGCATTCTCGGAGAACGCAGTTCTCCTGTGAATGCAGTTTATGAAGCAGTTCTCCGAACGAAGGGAGAACGGTCTCCAAACGCTGGAGAACGGTCTACAAACTCTGGAAAACGGCTGATTTTACTAAAATCTCGCGAGATTACAGTAAAAGATCAGTTTACTAAGCAGAGGTAAATTATCGCTGCTTAGTTTGCGGTCCCTCTGATTCTCCAGCTCTGGGCTGGAGAATCTGGAGGGAGAACACAGATCTCCAGTGAAGGGCTGACATGATCTCCTGAGTGTCATAAACTTGTGAATGACCAGAGAATAGCTGAGATCCGTTGAATCTCAGCTATTCTGTGTGTCATAAACGGACACTTAAATGGCGCTGTTTTACTAAAACGGGGAGAGTGCAAATTCTAGATAGAGACCAATCAGCTTCCAGGTTTTTTTGACAATGCTTAACCACTTGCCTATCTGGGATTTATACTCCCTTCCTTACCAGGCTAATTTTCAGGTTTCAGCGCTGTCGCACTTTGAATGACAATGTCGCATGCAAGATTGTACCCATATGAAATTTTTATCATTTTTTCTCATAAATAGAGCTTTCTTTTGGTGGTATTTAATTGTCGCTGGGTGTTTTACTTTTTGCACTATAAACAAAAAAAAAGTGCAACAAATTTGAAAAAAAAAAAAGTTTTTCTTTGTTTCTATTATAAAATTTTGCAAGCAGGTAATTTTTCTCCTTCACTGATGTGCGTTGATGAGGCAGCAGTGGTGGGCACTGATGGGCACTGATAGGCAGCACTGAAGGGCACTGATAGGCAGCACTAATGAGGTGGCATGGATAGGCGGCACTGATAGGTGGCACTGATAGCCGGTGCTGATGATGGGTACTGATAGTCAGCACTGATAGTCAGCACTGACTGGTATCACTGCTGGGCATTGACTGGCGCAACTGCTGGGCACTGACTGGTGCAAACTACTGGGCACTGACTGGCAGCACTGCTGGACTGCACTGATGGGCACTGGTGGGTGGCACTGGTGGGTACAAGTGGGTAGCACTGATGGGCACAGGTGGGTGGCACTGCTGGGCACAGGTAGGTCGCACTGCTGGGCACAGGTGTGTGGCACAGGTGGGTGGTACTGCTGGGTGGCACTGATAAGCACTGGTGGGTGGCACTGCTGGGCACAGGTGGGCAGATCTGGTGGGTGGCACTGCTGGGCACCGATCATCAGAGCACGGATCATCAGTGCCCTGATGATTGGTGCCGATCCCTGCTCTGACAACTGCCGGTTCTCGGCAGTACTTTCCTCAAGCTCTGACAGCGAGAGGAAAGTGCAGCCGAGAACCGGCAATTGCATTTCCCTGTGATCAGTGTGTCACTGGACACGGCTGATCACGTGGTAAAAGGCCGCTGTGATTGGCCTTTTACCCCACCATGTGATCAGCTGTGTCCTTAGGACACAGCGATCATGGAGATTGCCGGGGGCGCGCAGGAGAGCGCGTTCTGGGAGGACATCATATGACGCCATTCGGCTATCTGCGGTCGGCAACTGGTTAAAGAGGAATTCTACTCATCTTAGCTTGAGGCCTCTGTCATTGGCTGGGCAAGGGGTGGTGTCATTGTAACGCAAGTGTGGGACTTCAATCAGATTCAGCATCGCCAAATTTGTATGCGCAGCTCACTGTAAATGGGAGCATGTCCCTTCACGAAGCATGTCTCTTCTGCATTACAATTCCTGCCTGTTCACTTTTTTTCATTTTTACCTAAAGATCCACTTTAACTGGAAAAGCTGACGTTAGAAGCTGATTGGCTGCCATGCACAGCTGCACCAGAGTTTATACTCTCCAGTTTTGGGTGGGTTGGTATTTTTCAGTCCAGGTTTAGGCCTTTTCTGCGGAGCTGGGACAATGGTGGGCCAGTGAAAAGCCTGAGGGTCCAACATGGTAAGCTCCCAGCTTATGTTGTCCGTGCCTGAAAATGCTTTGGCAAGGGCGAAGGACGGCGGAGGAAATTAAATCTCTTCCTAGGAAGGCCCTGGAGAGGAGGGTTGTTACATAGTTACATAGTTAATCTGGCTGAAAAAATACAAAAGTCCAGTTCAACCATAAAAAAAAAGTTATAATCCTATACCCACAGTTGATCCAGAGGAAGGCAAAAATACCCACCAAAGCATGATCCAATTTGCTCCTGCTGGGAAAAAAATTCCTTCCTGATCCCCCGAGAGGCAATCAGATATTCCCTGGATCAACTTTACCTATAAATGTTAATATCCAGTTATATTCTGTGTATCTAAGAAACAATCCAGGCCTGTTTTAAAACAATCCACTGAGCTGGCCAGAACTCTTGAGGGAGTCTATTCCACATTTTCACAGCTCTCACTGTGAAGAAACCTTTCCATATTTGGAGATTAAATCTCTTTTCCTCCAGATGTAAAGATTGCCCCCTTGTCCTCTGTGATGACCTGTCACTATATGAACACCTGATGTATTTATACATGTTGATCATATCCCCCCTTAATCTCTTCTTCTCAAGAGAGAATAAATTCAGTTTTCCTCTTATCTTTCCTCATAGCTGAGCTCCTCCATGCCTCTTATCAGTTCGGTTGCCCTTCTCTGTACTTTTTCTCCAGTTCCCCAATATTCTTTTTGTGAATTGATGCCCAAAACTTAACTGAATATATTCCAGATGAGGTCTTACTAATGATTTGTACAGGAGTAAAATTATATTTCTCTCTCTGGAGTCTATACCTCTTTTAATACAAGAGAGGATTTTGCTCGCTTTAGAAACCGCAGCTTGGCATTGCATGCCATTATTAAGCTTGTGATCTACCAGAACTCCCAGATCCTTCTCCACCATTGATTCCCCCAGTTGTACCCCCCCCCCCCGAGTATGTATGATGCATGCATATTCTTAGCCCCCAAGTGCATACCCTTACATTTATCAACATTAAACCTCATTTGCCACATAAATGCCCAATTAAACAGTGCATTGAGGTCGGCTTGTAAATTGAAGACATCCTGTAAGGACATTATTCCACTGCACAGCTTGGTGTCATCTGCAAAGACTGAAATGGGATTTTTAATCCCAGACCCTATATCGTTTATAAATATATTAAAAAGTAAGGATCCCAGCACTGAACTCTGGGGTACACCAGTGATGACCCTAGACCACTCAGAGAATGAATCATTAACCATTACTCTTTAAATACGATCTTTTAGTCAGTTTTCTATCCATTTACATACAGATTTTTCCAAGCCCGTAGACTTTACCTTACATATTAGCCGTGTGTGGGGAACTGTGTCAAACGCTTTTTGCAAAATCCAAGTATATCACGTCCACCGCCACCCCTCTGTCCAAGGTTTTGTTCACCCCCTCATAAAAAGAAATCAGATTTGTCTGACAACTTCTGTCTTTCATGAATCCATGCTGTCTGTTGCTTTAAATATTTAAAAAACTAATCTATGTGGTCTTTTATTAAACTCTCCAGTATCTTCCCAACTATAGAAGTTAAACTAACAGGTCTATAATTACTTGGTAAAGATTTTGACCCCTTTTTAAATATTGGCACCACATTGGCCTTACGCCAATCCAGTGGTACTATGCCAGACATTAAAGAGTCCCTAAAAATTAGGAATAATGGCTTTGAAATGACAGAGCTCAATTCTTTAACCTCCCTAGCGGTCTGATTATGTCAGTATTTCTGTGCTCAAAGCGGTACATTTTTTTGCATGGACATTTGTAGTTTTTTATTGTAGGCCTGTAATTTGTAGGAAAAACTTACTGAAGTCCGTCTGAACAAGAGTCTAGTAAACATCCTGGGTATGTTAAAATTTGAAACATTTAATAAATAATCATAAAAAATAATAATATAATAATAATAAATTTAATTCAATAATGTAATCAAACCAAAAACCCTGCGATTTGAAATAGAGCGCCAAGTTCGCACATTACTGAGCTTAGTCGCAAAATCATTTCCAGTGTCTTATGGCGAATTTCCCCACGAATCATCACTCAATTCTGCAAGTAGTTCTAATTTACCAAATATGAAAAATTAGTGAAGCACTATGTATAAATAAAATAAAATACTTGACATAAATAATTATATCATACTGTGTGCAAAGCACTGAAGTGCAAAACCGTGCTGACACAATCAATAGTGCTCCGTGATAAACAATGCAAAAATCTTATAAACAAATATATGATTAACCCCTAGGTAAAAACCACTGAGGTTAATAAGTGATAATAATAGTGATCCCTAGAAGAGGGAAAATAATATATAGTGCTACCTTTCCAAATGAAGTGTATATATATTGATACTAAAAAACACACAATAAATAATGTACAAAGTCCATACATGAATAAACATCTGTGATTTTTAAAAAAAATTAGTCCATGCAAGTGATACAGTGCCAAGGTGATCTTCACTCTGGTGTAAAAAAATCCTCAAACGGCAGCAATGCCTGCTCACCTCCACACACTGACCCGCACAGGGCCCAAAAGCTAATAGTCACCCCAATAACGAATCCTCTTAGATATGTTTCCTCATCAAAGGGTAGGATGAGACTTAGATGAGACTAGACTCCTCTTAAGCACACCTTATCCACTCCACCTCCACTCAAGGCCATGTAAGTGAGACACAAAGCAAAGATCCTTCCATAGTGCAGTAAGCATTTATTAGGAAAAAGGTATAACAGATACTGCACTCACATGTATTCCCAGTATAAAAATGCCTGTCACCACATCCTATGGGTGTACTGCATGATAAATGGGTAGAGCAATATGGCCGCTGCGCCCGGAAGTGCGTCACCTCGTAACCGGAAATGGCGTACCGACGCGTTGCGTCATGTGACTCGTGACTTCATCACGCCATTTCCGGTTACAAGGTGATGCATTTCCGGGCGCAGCGGCCATATTGCTCTACCCATTTATCATGCAGTACACCCATAGGATGTGGTGACAGGCATTTTTATACTGGGAATACATGTGAGTGCAGTATCTGTTATACCTTTTTCCTAATAAATGCTTACTGCACTATGGAAGGATCTTTGCTTTGTGTCTCACTTACATGGCCTTGAGTGGAGGTGGAGCGGATAAGGTGCGCTTGAGAGGAGTCTAAGTCTCATCCTACTGTCCCTTTGATGAGGAAACATATCTAAGAGGATTCGTTATTGGGGTGACTATTAGCTTTTGGGCCCTGTGCGGGTCAGTGTGTGGAGGTGAGCAGGCATTGCTGCCGTTTGAGGATTTTTTTACACCAGAGTGAAGATCACCTTGGCACTATATCTAGTTCTCATCATCCATATAAGCGCAGGAGGATATCCCAATTCATCTTCAGTTCTAATTTACTATCGTTGTTCTCTAGCTGGTCTAAAACTGCTTTTGACCTAAAGGGACGCTTTTTGTGCACCATGGACATTTCTCAGTTTCAAGGCAGAAAGAACAGTAAAAATGCAGGCAGGGCACAGGGCAAAGCACTCGGGACAAAATGTATGTGAAATGGTTAGATACAGTAGTGTTTCACTATGTGATTTTAGTGTATTTAGTGAATGTCACTGTTTGACATTTTTAAATTTCCCGCCAGTTCCGTCCCCGTACGTCCTGACATCGCAGGGTACGGAACCCGGAAGACAGATGCCGGCATCAGCCGGAGGACATGGCCGGGGAAGCTGCATGGGGGACATCGTGGGAGTGCAGGACAAGGTAAGTGCAGAAGGGATCCCGGAGCAACGCTGCAAGGTATTCCCAAGTGTAGCTCGGGGTTACCGCTTGTGGTGCTGAAACTTTACCCCGAGCTACACTCGGGAATACCTCCAAGGAGGTTAAGGACCGTGGGTGTATGCCATCCGGTCCAGGTGCTTTATTCACCTTTATACTGTCTACATATTTTTGGATCATATCAATTGTGAGCCAATGTGGATCATCTGGAGCTGTGTCAATACCATGCCCATTATGGACAAGAGCTTCCCCATGATCCTTTTATACACAGAGCTGAAGAAGGTATTAAATAAATTTGCCTTCTCCTTGTCCCAAGTCACCCACTCTAGATTATTTTGTAAAGGGCCTACATGCTTGGACAGGACCTTTTTACTATTAATATATTTGAAGAATTTTAAGGGTTTGGTCCTGCTATCTTTTGCAATCTGTCATTTGTTTTCAATTTTTGAGGCCTTTTTTCCTTTTTACATATTCTGTTATATTATATGTAATGTTTAAAACGATGATAGTGTTCCTTCATTTTTATATTTAATACAACCTCTTTTCTTATTATCTATAGCTTTTTTAACTTTGGGCATAAGCCACATAGGTTTGATCGTTAGCCTTTTAAACCTGTTGCCCATGGGAATATATTTTGCAG